ATATCCAAATCCAAGGCTCAACTTCACGATGAAGGGGCCATATTCGATTCCAACTTCACAAATAGATTGACCCAACTTCACGACGAAGGAGTCATCTGTAACGCAGCAACACCGAAGTCTTCAGGACAAGTTTCACCTTCACGACAAAGTATCTTGATCCAGAAGACGATTCAAAGGCCACTTGCCAAAATCTTTGAGTTCGATTTCAACTTCACGACGAAGGATGTCGTGCTCAGAAGCTTCCAGTTCAACTTGACCTCACGACGAGGGAGTCATTCCATAATTCAGTTCAATTTGGCAAACCAATCAAATATCAGATTTCAACTCTGCGATAGAGGATATTCGATATGAACGAAAATTTGTGTCTTTTATCTTTGCCCTATTTTTTGTTCCACGAAAAAAGACAAAGAGGGGCAGCTGTAGACACTAATTTTCCAGCGCCACATGTCTCCTCCCCGAAGACTCCTCCTGCAACCAATTTTCACAGCAACCAAAGAGCGTTAGAAGTCTATTTTGTATAGGATTCTAAAAATAGTCTGCTTTTTCCATTATAAATACATGTAATTCATATCTATTGTAACACACGAATGGAGATACGAAATACAAGCAGAAATTACGAGCAATCTTAGAGCGAAATCAGAGTTTTTTTTCCTGCAAGTTTTCGAAGAGAAATACAATGTAAATATAGTACCTTTTTCGAGTTTACGTATGCATGCTTGTGTCTCGTTACATTTTGTATTCGAAAAACACCAAAGAAAATGATTTTTTGCCGATGAACAGGGGCATTTTTCAGGATCTATTTTTATAGATCTAGCCCCCGAGGCTTCTTTTCTTGAGAAAATACTTTGATTTTCGGAATGGGTGTGAAAAAGGGGTAATCTCACTCTTGGTCCCCTCGTTTTTAAAGGATTTAACTTCCACCCTGAAATCCCAATTCATCCTCGAAGTGCTCCAAAATTTGTCAGTCGATTTTCTATTTTTACATTCTAGTCCGTTTTCTAGATTTGGATTTCAATTTTCTTCTTATTTTATTTAATATTACATTATAGTATATATTTGATATTACTCATGTATATTATTATTATTTATTTCCTTTTGTTGTTATGTATATACATGTATCATTATTATTTTATTATTTACTTATTTTATTTATATGTTATATTATATATATATATATATATTACGTTATTTCTTAATATTTTTCTTTATATATTTTTTAGTTTACAAGCTAATATGTATGTATTTCCTTTTTTTTACCTTTTTTCCCTTCGTTTTGTTTATTTATTTCATTTTTATTTTCTTTATTCATTGATTCATTTTTCCTATTTTATTTATTTATTTATCTTATTCCATTGTCTTTAATTTTTTTATATTCCTTTTATTTTCATAATCTCCATATCAACTGTGTTGTTTACTTTTCGTCCATATTTGTTAGTATTTATTTTTTTTATTTTATTTATCTCTTCTTTATTTCATTTTCTTTATTTTCAATTTATATTTTTCTTGATTATTTAAGGGTTCGTTTTCCAAACCTTAGAGGTTATTAATTTGGATCGTCATTTTATCTTTTAATTTAACTTACAATTTTCTTAATCAAAGACAACTGGAAATTACGTAGTACCGAAAGGGCAGTTCAAGGGTGCTAACCCTTCCTTGACTGTAACCGACTCCCGAATCCGACACATCTTTGGTAAGACGCAGATCAGGTAAGAAATAGGGTATCCGATCAACCCATTTGCTTTAAAATAAATGATCGGTGGCGACTCCTAATCCATTTTCCTAAGTCGAAGCCCAATTCCGGGGCCCAACCGAAAGATGGTTGCGACAAAGACCTTTCGAGTTCGATTTCATTCAGCTCAAGGGCCTATTAACCACATGGTGGAGTCAATGAACTACTTTCCGGTTGAATTTTTAACTAAGGTCTTTAACCGAGAAGAAAATCGAAGTTGACTACAATTTGGCAACGAGAAGCCACGTTCCAATTCAAATTCCGAACTACAGCTTCAATTCCGTATCATTTCAAGATGGACTCGACTTCGTGACAAATGAGTCATCCGCGATTAAATTTGACATGGAGATATTATTAATTGAATTATTAGAGTCAATTTTCAGCTTTACCGAACGAAAATTTGTGTCTTTTTATCTTTGTCCTATTTTTCTTTCCATGAAAAAGGACAAAGAGGGGCAGCTGTAGACACTAAATTTTCACCGCATCTCCTTTATCCTAGCCAACCGTCGTTTTTCACGCCACCAACCCGAACCTTCCAGCGCAAGGAGAGCTCAAGTCACGAATCCAACAAACAACCAACCAACCGAGAATTTCACTCAGAGTTAAACTCTCAAAAATAGGGTTCATGAGCACTATAAATAAGATTTAAACTCACATTCAAAGGGAGCAGATCGAAACATAAAGAAAAAATACTGAGAGGAAAAATCGAGGAAATACAGGGGCTCCCCACATTCTACAGAAAAAAAGAGACATTCATCTTTGCTCTCTGGCCGATTCTTGGCTCCAAAAATAGAGAGAATATTAGAGAAAGAGGGAACTACCTGAGTCGGGTAAGTCCTTGGATCTATTGTATTTCATTGTTTTGGACATAAAAAATAAAGGTCTAATCAGATTTTGGTCTCTGATTTATTTTTATTCGAATTGGCCCCCCTAACCTTTTATTTTTCTCTTGCATATTTGTTTAATACTAATTTGGCATATCAATTTCAATTTATTTCAAATTGGTTCTTTAGATTTTTAATTATTCATTTTTTCTTTGATTTATTTATTATGTTTATTTTTATTTTTGCTTTGTTTGTTTTGTTTTATTTTTTTCCTTGATTTAATTTTTTTCTAATTTTTATTTATTCTTTATCTTATTTTTTCCTTTTGATTTATTCTTTTATTCTTTTTATTTATTTTTACATTTTTCTTCTTTCTTTTGATTTATTTAATATATTTTTATTTTATTTTTTCTTTCCCAATTGATTTATTTATTTATCTATTTATCTTATTTCTTCTTTTTGATTTATTATTTTTATTTTCATTCTTATGTTTTTTTCTTTGATTTATTTAAATATTTATTTATTTATTTATTTTCCTAACATTTTCGACATTTTTAGAAGAATTTGAACCGATCAAAGGTAAGTAATTCGAATCGAATATTTTAGATTTTAATTTAAATTTTTGACTTTTCGCAATTAAAGACAACCGATAAATTAATTGGTACTGAAAGGGAGGTTCAAGCGTGCTAATCATTCATTGATCGTAATCGACTCCCGAACCCGACACGTTTCTGGTACAACGTATATCAGGTACCTACCTAAATTCGTTTTAAAATGGTCGGTGACGACTCTAACCCGATTATTCAAGTCGAAGCCTAATTTCAAGTCCACCCGAAAGACGGTTCCGACATGAGGATTTCTCTCTTTTACCTTATATACAATTGGTTCTTTCTCTTCGTCTTTAACTGATAAACGGCGATATCAATCTTGATGTTAGTTATCACCATCAATATTTCTTTATTTTTCTTATACTATATCTTTGATTTTTTTCCCAGATTTTAATAACTATGTCTTTATAACACGTTTTTTTTCTGTCTTTTAGCACGTTTTCAATTGTTTGGCCATTGTTTTTGTCAAATTTTTCTCAGGTTGAATTTGACATTCGTCACGATTGATTAAGATAACACTCATTTGTTATCATGCTGATCTTTCCTGCTTTGGACTCTCAAATTAAAATTTTAATACATGATTTGTGTTCGTGGATTGGTTTTTCGTGTTGCATGACTCTAATTTATGATTTGTTGGTGGTCTTTCAATAGCTTCATCCCCTTTTATGATCTGTTTACCGATGTGATCAGATCTGTTTGTATTTATCTTTTATTAGAGTTTTTTGATTAGGTTTTTAACATTTTATTTGTATGATCTTTGTGTGATATTAAATGACTAGTTTTTGTATGATTATAATAATATATCTTAATTATGTGTTTATTTTACGATTATAATAGTAAATTTTTATTGTAATTCTAGATATTTCCTCTTTTTAATAAAAGTAACAATTTCTAAAAAATATATTTTCAAATGAATTAGTATCATAATCTTAATTAGATATTAATTATATTAAGAAAATTAAAATATAATTCTTTTAGATAATAATTAATATCATTATAATAATATTTTCACACTTTATATTTATATAATCTTCAAATAAACAATCAAGAAACACACAAATAAAGACTGAATTTATATTTAATATAAAATTCTTTTACCACTATCTACAATTATAAAGTTAAAGTCTGCTTGAGTAGGACCATATCTCCCCATAATTTTTTTTTGGCCAAAAGGTAATTTAATTCATTGAACGTTCAAATATTTGTCAAATTATGCCTTCCTCAAATTTGTTTCAAGTTTAACCCTGACGACTTCAAAATTAGATAATTTAAATTAATTTTAATTTCGTTTCTATTCTCCTATAATAATTATTGAATGAGTTTAAAAATAATTTTATATAAAAAAATTGTTCCACCTATATCTGTAGATGGAATGGTATAAGATATGTACGTGAATATATTATTTTTAGTGTTTGAATCTTCACACAGTAGATTTTAGTTGTTGTATTTAAAAATCATATAAAAATAAAAATAATTTTATAATAATATTAATTATTTTTAAAAATAAAACATTTTAAGTAATTAATAATATTAATTCAATTATGTTTTTTTTTATAAATATAATAATAAAAACAGAGGAAACACTGGCAGCGGTCTCATAAAGCAGAATGTGGTCCCGATTCACATTGCATTCCCGTTCTCTCGGTTATCATTCCACTGTCCGATCAATTTTCAATCGAACGACTTCAGTCCCTCCACGCTCACATAGAATTATCCTTTGATAAACAAAACTTCTCATGGCTGCCATAAATCCACGTTCACTCGTTTACATCCCTTGGATTCCGAACCAATCCAACGGTTTTTATTTTTTCTACAAGACTGCAACAATCTTCTAATTTTGTTCCACTAACATTGATATCCCGCTTTTCTGTCCATACCCAAAAAAAGAAGAATTAGAAGAAGAAAATCTCTGAATCTCTCCGTAAGAAACAATTTTTTACACGAAGAAATGCAAGAACAAGGAACGAGTTCAATTGCAGCTAGTTCCTTGCCCTCAAGCAGTGAAAGATCTTCTAGCTCAGCTCTTCAAATAGAAGTCAAAGAAGGTACTATTTTTCCTCCTTTTTGAAAAGCTATAAATTCGTTTAAGTTTTCAAAATCCCAAGATAAAATGGTTTATCTTTGGTCCTTGATGATTTTTTCTTATTTACTTTGAAAAAAAAATTACGTAACTTATCACTATCTGGGTTTTAGTTAGTAGAAAATGGTTTTCGTAAAGTTTTCAGCGTTCTGAGGTTTACTTGTTTCATTTTTATCGAGAAATTGCATGGAGATCAACCGCATTTTCATTAATTACATTGAAAATCCGATCTATATTTTTTGTTTCTCAAGGCATGGAAAGTGATGAAGAGATCCGGAGAGTGCCTGAGATAGGAGGTGAAGCGTCAGCAGCCGGACGAGAAGCCGGTTCAGTGACCCGGGTTCAGACATCAGGAAAGGGCGGTCAGAGAAAGAGAGGGAGGAGCCCAGCGGATAAAGAGAACAAGCGGTTAAAGAGGTAATAATTGGTGTAATTTGTGTTTTGAAAGGCACTGGCATTTGAGTGATTTGAAATTTGTGGGAATTGAGAAGGTTATTGAGGAACAGAGTTTCAGCGCAGCAAGCAAGGGAGAGGAAAAAGGCCTACTTGAATGAGCTGGAGACCAGAGTTCGAGACTTGGAGAAGAAGAACTCTGAGCTTGAAGAGAGTCTTTCCACGTTGCACAACGAGAATCAGATGCTTCGACAAGTAAATCACTTCCTCTATTACATCATCATCCTTATATTTATCTTTTCCAATACAACCAATTGGATTATTTGGCATCCTTATCGCCATAACTTTTATCATCAATTTCAGCAATTAATATCGACACTGTAATCTGTAATTTGCCTCACAAAGCAATGGTGAGTAAGGGTTTAGGGTTTAAAAGAGGTTTAAATTGCATGGGCGGACATACGAAATTACGCTAAGGAGCTGAACTAAAGTTTTAGTTAGAAAGAAACGCATCATAAATTTTCATTGTGCAAATATAAATTATCAATAAAAAAATACCTAAATGAAAATTTAAAATATATTATAATTTTAAATTTTCAAGACGTTTGCTCTCCCCTGCCCTTTTGGTCTGGTTTAAGGCGATTTTTCCGAGAAATCAACTTTTTCATCTTTAATTCCTTGTCAGGCGCCCCTCCTGCAACGTGTTTTAGGTTGATCTGTCGTCACGTGGGGTAAGACGTGCTTCAGGAGCGCGCCTTATGCTGAGTTGGACACACGTGGCTAAAGCGCTGCCCTTGGGGCGTGCCTTACACAACGTAGAGCTATAATACGGTGCAGGGATCGCGTTTTTCTATTATCACATGCTCAATTATCAGACATTCATAATGCAAAGTGCGGTGCAGGAACCGCGCCTTGCATAATTTACCCGAACTTCTCCACTTTTAAGCATCCTCTCTCGGCTATAAATAGCTCTCTTCCTGTAAACTATCTCACAACTCCCTCTCAACCGAGAAATTAATACAACAATCCTTTCAACCAATAAATAACACCCGACAATCCTCTTATATTTAATTCAGAAGTTCGTTTGATCTTTCGTTATAAGGTAATTTTGTTATAATATATTTTTTTATAATTATATATGATTATTTGAAAAAAAATATTATATTAATTGTTTTCAATTAATTTATGTGTTTGTAAAATTGAAAAGCGGGAGCATACGTCGAAATATTTTTGCAGTGCATGTAATAATATAAAATTATATTATTTAAATTATTTACGTTTATGTGTAAAAAATTTATTGTGTTATATTTTCGTTCATATAATTCGAACGCATTTGAATAAACTTTGCATAAATCTCAATATCGCCGTCTGAATAATTACTTTAAGAATCAACCATCATTTGAACATCATCATTGTTCGATAGTTCGAACGTTGTATAAGTTAATGGCAACAATGATGTTGGAAATCTATACTGCAACGACGACATTCTTCTATTACTTCCAACATGAACATTCCTCGAAATATTCGTTATCAGTTCCTCAAGAGTTATGTTTCTCTTGAATGATATTTTAACACGCTCATTTGATACAAAAACGTCTGTTTCATCTTCTCGAATTTCTTTATAATAATAAACAATAGTTGAAAGTCGCATCATTTTTAGAGTTAGAAAGTGCGATAATATTATATCTGCAAAAAAACAACTGAAACAAACCTAATTAAATAAATAATATATAAACGAAAATATAACACAATAAATTTTTTACACATAAACGTAAATAATTTAAATAATATAATTTTATATTATTACCTGCACTGCAAAAATATTTTCGACGTATGCTCTCGCTTTCCAATCTTACAAACACAGAAATTAATTAAAAACAATTAGTATAATATTTTTTTCAAATAATCAAATATAATTATAAAAAAATATTATAACAAAATTACCTTATAACGAAAGATCAAACTAACTTCTGAATCAAATATATGAGGATTGTCGGGTGTTATTTACTGGTTGAAAGAATTGTTGTATTAATTTCTCGGTTGAGAGGGAGTTGTGAGAGAATTTACGGGGAGAGGGTTATTTATAGACGAGAGAGGATGTTTAAAAACCGAGAAGTTCGAGTAAATTATGCAAGGCGCGGTCCCTGCACCGCGCCTTGTATTATGCATGTCTGATAATTGAAAAGCGCGGCCCTGCACCGCTCTATAGCCTTACGTTGCGTAAGGCGCGTCCCAGGGGTCGCGCTTTAGCCACGTATGTCCAACTCAGCATAAGGCGTGCGTCTTACCCCACGTGGTGACAGATCAGCCTAAAGCGTGCTGTAGGGGGCGCGTCTTTCTGCAAAGGGTGTTAGATCAGGAAATATAGTCTGAACGGTATCTGTCAGAGAATTAAAGATGAAAAATGTGATTTATCGGGAAAATCGTCCTGGTTTAAAGCCGTTTTTTTTCTTTCTCAATATTGTAAATGTGGGTGCAGATAGTGAAGAACACAACGGGCAGCAGGAGAGGAGGAAATGGCAGTTCAAATGCAGCAGATGGAACGCTTTAAGGCGTATAGAATTTATTAGGGGATTGAAAAAAAAAATACTAAAATTTATGCATTAAAAAACCTCTATTAGCATTGCAAGCGTGACAATCAAACTTTGGCTCTAATTGTAATCATAAACTATTATCCAAAAACTCAAGGTATAAAATATCATGAGGTAAAAGGTCATTTGAAAAACTTTCAAGAGTCCACAATATCGTAAAGATTTAAAAATCTTATGAATTTTGCATCAATATGCTTGTTAGTATCATGTTTTTTTATAAGATTCATTACACTTATCCAAATAAATAAAGAAAATTCTTTTTGACATAATCTCATGTATACAATTTATTAATTCGGATCAAATAATGTAGAAGTGATGATGATTCTTATAATTAATTTGTTCTATTTGTAAACGTGAATCCATAACCTCATGCTTAGGGGATATAGTGCAATACGAAGGTAAACCAATTCTCAAACCTACAAATCTATCTCACTGTTTGTCTAGAAAGTACCATACAGTCTCTTGTTCCTTTCTTGCCGTTCTAGATATACATTATAAGTTTATTTTTAGGTATTGTCTCCTTTTTTCCCCCCTTCAGTTGCTCCTTTCTTAGTTTTCTTATATTATTTCTTTTATCGTTAGCAATGACATTAGTTTTGAATTTATCGTTAACGGTTGAGCTTTTTTTTTTCCTTTCTTCATTCACATTTCATTTATATTTTTTCCTCATAATGTCATATCCTTTACCATAATTTTGTTTTACATATATGAATTATATTATTTTATTTGTTGAAACAATGCTCTCCTTCTCGTACGAGAGTGATGGATGGTTTTTTATGTTCATGTAACATGTTCTTTATCTATTCCTGTAACACGTCTTTTATTTGATTAGAGTTGGATTTAACGTCATCTCTCTAGTTGACATTTGTTTGATTATATAGATCAGTCATCTCTCTAGTTGACATTTGTTTGATTATATGGATGATCTATTATAATTTTGGATCCCTTAGATTGGTTCTATTTTATTGATAGGCATTCGTAATCACCAAAGATGCATTGCGGTTGAGTTATAATAAAGTCACTTTGTCAAAATGTTGTTATTATTATATGTACTTTATGGTAGTCTTGATTATGCTTATTTTTTATTATTGACAATGAAGTTTATTTTTATCTATTATTTTTTTGAGTTGTTTAGTTGAATTTTTAATCATTTATGTATATAATTTTATTCTTTAATGTCTAGCTTGTGTATTTTAGTGATTTTAGAAGAAATAATTGGTTAATGTTATTTAATTTATCTAACTTTATAATTTTTTGATATTTTAATATCTAATTTTTCTCTCAACCCTCTTCCAATTGAGAGGGGTTTAAATCGTGGCTATTGTTAGGTTTGGAGTCCGATGCAAGATGCAAGTACACATTTTGAGTGGGTGACATTGAGGTCTGGGATGTTTGGTGTGCCCCTCCTATATGAAGAAGTGGTCTCATTTATATGATTGGGTTGTGTTATTATAGGGGCACTATTTTTTCAATGGTTAGTATATTTCTTTCTTTGGTGTGGATGATACGTGTATTGTTAGGGTTTTTCTGCTACGATAAAGGTTTGGATGGTGCAACTTAGTATGGTCAATGTCATGAATTAGACCGATATCGAACATATTATTTTGGGTTTTAGCTTACTAGGACTGAGATAGGGCCGTCAATGGATCTATGAAGGTGCTGTCATGTTTTATTTAGTGTTGCATGTGAGTTAGATGTTCGTATGATTGGTTTTAGGGTCTATTGGTCGTATTAGTCGATGTCGTCACTGTTGGGATTTTGTGTGTGTGTGTGTGTATGATAGTAATAGTTTTCGTGGGACTGATGGTATATGATGGATTGGGATGGCCCAAATTCTTTGCATAGGAGTTGGGGTGTACTAGATGAAACACGAAGCCCACCTGCTGACATATTATTTGAAATGCAGGGTCGGGCTTACGTTATTACATGCACATTGGTTTTCTGGTTTTTCCTTATGTTTCTTAATTATTTTTATCACGAGCCCAAGTTATTTACATCACGTGTGACAAACTATTATTTAAGCCATAGAGGTTGTGAATATAATATCTCATCTTCATGTTTGATGTATTTATTAGATATTGTATTAAACATAATAAAAATAATAATTTACAAGTAAGTTTATTTATTTTTTATTTTTCTTATAATTTATTTATTTTTATTATTAGTGACCTAATTTCTATATTCGTAACATACCACTAAAATCTCGGACATGCAATTATGGAAATACGAGTCCCAACTAATTATCATCTTTCGAAGGTAAGGGCGTTAATCGACTAGGTTAAATCCAATTAAGTTTGGCCTCTACATTGGATATCAAATATTTCGTTTCCTCTGCATTTTTTTTCTTTTCATATGCGTAATACAAAAATTACACGTAGACAAAAGATCAGAGTCAAAAACCCCAATCTTTGGAAAGGGTAAAAAAATGAAAGAAAAAATAACATTCAAGTTAAAAGGGAAAAGGGGGAAATTTACATTTACTGGGGCTGGCAGAGCAGATTTTGTAATAAATTTATCTCACTTTAAAGGATCATATATTGGCAGAATACTATCAGCTTACCAGCTCGTTATGGCCATGGAAATAGTGTTTTGGTTGCCATTGTTGGCTGCTTATTCCTCTCCAAAACTTGTTTTGTTTGTATGAGATGAGACCTAACACTGTACTCTTCTAACTGTTCAATATCATCACCAAAAACCTTGTCAAATGTGTCTAACACACACACACACACACACACACACACATATGAAAAAAGACAGAAACTATATTCATTAGAGCATAGAAACAAAAGTTTGCAAATTGCAGAAACCTATTCTAGCCAGCTCAGTTGGCACATGCATAGGTTGAGCTGACATTAGCCAGCCGGTTTGATAGTGATGGCATATAAGGGATGGATTGGCCACATTTACAGCGGTAGAGTCAGTTTCGAGTTATTGTTGCTTTGACTCTTCAGTGTTTTTTTTTCCAGTACCCATATCCGATCGGTGTGTGGACATGTTCTAAGAATCCTCCAAATACATAGAAAAGCTTAGAAATAATCAAACCAATGTCACATATACACATTCTAGCACTTGTGTCTAAGTAATATAGGTTTAAGGCAGATTAGCATGCATGTCAGATCATTCCAAACAGGGATGGACTGGGGGTTGGTGGGGGCTGTGCCTCCCCGAAAAATCAAAATTCTCATATAATTCGAATATTTTCTTTGTATTTTCTATTGATAATCTTTTTTCATCCCTCTAAAATTTTATAAGTTAGTCTTCCCTCAAAATTTTATAAGTTAATCCCTAAGCATTAAATTCTGCATTAGTCCCTGACTCCAACTACTACACACATAAGCTTCATACTGAAAGTTCTCACCTGTCTCCATCAACACATGAAAGATATTTCCACTTCAGCGTAATCAACTAAACTGACTTAATACCGAGTTAAAGCCTTAGCCACTCTCCTAGAAAAAGGTTGCCTTTGGCTAAACGAGTGGACTATGTCATGTTCCATGTGGCTAATGATAAGCATCACTTGAAAATCAAATTCAAGTTCAACCCTCCCTAACTTCTCTCTCTAATGAGGAAAATAGCTTTAAATCCTATCCTCATGCTTTGTCTGATTTTTCGTTGCATACACAATATTTACCAGTCATTGCAAAGAGTCTTAGAGGAGTTGGTCGAGTCAAGATAGTCATATTTAATCCAAGAACTTGAAGTTCAGCAAGCATTTAATGTGTCCTTACCTGCATACACAATATTTACCATTGCAAAGAGTCTTAGAGGAGTTGGTCGAGTCAAGTTAGTCATATTTAATCCAAGAACTTGAAGTTCAGCAAGCATTTAATGTGTCCTTACCTGCATAGCCGCTGTTGAAGCCATGAGAGCTTCACATTGATCCAGCATGTTCTTCTCTAGCATAGCTATTGCAGCAAGCTCAGAAACCAAATTATTTATTCCTTCCACCTAAAGGATATATAATATTGAAATACAGTTAAGCTTCCAGAATGAAATCAAGATATATCAGCAAGAAAACTGCAAGCTAATATCAGAATCAACCATCTGTCACACATTGGACCAGCATGGGACAAAATCCAAGTGGTCGATGTGGATTTAGAGTCATTACTCATTAGCAAAGATATAAGCTCTCACCATAGAATTAGGCAAAAAAGGGTAAGAAGAAAATTCCTTTTAAATTTACATACATCATCAAAGCTGAAATTTTGAGAAACACTTGTCTCGACACCTTAATTAAAATAAACAGAGATAAAACTTCTACTTGAACCAAAATTAAAATTTACTTGGAAAATATACTGGCTGTTGGCATCTTAAATTTAAATATCAGATAACTACAACGGTAAGTAAAGACAACAGCATTGACTTTTGTTCTTTCTGCTTATAATGTCAGGCATTTATGTTCAGAAACAAGGGAAATAACTGATTAGGAAGGAAAGACACCTTTGAGAGTAAATAACAAATGGAGGATCCCATAGCCTGCATCACATCAACAGCAGAGGAAATAGCAGCTTTCAATGATTCAATGTCCGCCTGATGAGTACAAAATCCAGCAAAGATGTCAATATTTCTCTTTTCCGATATCAATCCAAAGTATTTTATTGAAATTACCCTTGCCCCTCCAGTTACGCGAAGACGTAGAGTGCTTGCCTCCAGATCTTCTACGGCTTCAGCTAAAGAACTTACATGATCTCTTTCAAGTAATGTCCAATTGTTAAGATATCCCATCTGCATGAACCATATACACATGCATTTAGATAAAGGAAATTCAGTGGAAAGAATTTATACTGATATGCCGACCATTAAAAATGTTCTTGAAATGAGAAACAGAATATTTAATTTTTCCAATTTTCAGACGAGTAGTTTCCACAGGATTAAAGATAACACCTTCAATCAAACTTTTGAAGACAAGCAGTTGATCATAAGCAATTACTCGAATTGTGAGACATGAAATATATCACTCATGTAGATAATAAATTTGTTTCTCTTCAATCTATTTAATATTAATAAACATAGAAAGTACAATCTAAAAATTGCAACAGTGTTGTACTAGTAAAAGGAATAATTAGAGCAACATAATAGTTATCAAGTGAAGGCCACTTCGGAAAAGAGGTATCATGGGTCTGTCCAGACCATGTTGGCAAGGTTAAGTCCTTGCCAAAGGTACTGATATGCATTTGACACCTGGTCTTCTGTTATATATTTCATGTTTATGCAACAAGGAGTCAGTTATGATATTTTATCACATTTAATGGAAACTTGTTCTACCAAGCCTCCATCCAATCTTTTTAGGCATTAATTTTAAAGGTTGCCTTATCCACCGAAATATATTTGAATCTAAAAAGGTTCCTAAAACCAAGATGGAAAAGTTCAAACTTGAAATATTTTGTGTTGATCAACGTAGAGTTACATGTCAGGAGTAAATTACTAGTTCCTGTATATAGCACCAAAATATGGATTTCATCCAGAAGTAGAAAACCTTCTAAATCCTCAAATGCAGAATTTGGGGGAAAACACGCTGCAGAATGAGCCTCCTGTTAAGGCTTGTCCAAGTGTCAATAAGATTTGACTTTTTTTGTCCCATTAGAAGGCTACCACAACTAGAAGTTTGGCATTTAAAATTCCACAAGAACTACTGCCAAATTTAAGAAGCTTGGAGGTCCACAACAATGCCATATATTATTTCTTATAACCATTTAACTATAAAATAAACCTCTTATTCATCTAAAAGATGCTTCAAAATGCCATGCTGATATGACTAAATATTCTATTACTATAAAAATTTAGAGCTATAGAATGGACCAAGGCGTAGTTTAGTGACTTCCACCTTTCCTCCAAAAGGCGGACTCAAGTTTGAATCCTCAATTCCCTAAAACATAAAAATTTGGACCTGAAGGTGTAAGAAGATAAGCAAGTATTCGCTGACTACCTCCGTGTATCTTCACCAGTAGTAGCACAATTGAAAATGCACGTCAACTAATAATATAATCTCAAACTTAAATATAAAAGCACTTCTAACATTGAAGCTGTATGAGGGGAATAAAAATTTTCTATGAAAGGAGAAATAGAGGCAACTGTTACTTGATCATGCAAAACCGAGTTCAACTTGAGCTCTAACTTCAATTGTTGGAGATCGATCTTTTTCTTGATCATGGCATCCCACAGACCCAAAGTAGCATTCCAGACATTGTATAAAGTTTCCTGCAACAACAGATCGAATTTCTTTGATAAAAAATTTAACACACTATAGAAGAGCCAATCCACTATCTATGCCATTTTAAAGCTCTGTGTGCATACATGGATACTAACTGTTGAAAAATTCATCACAGTAGGAAACCAATAATAATGGACAGTGATTCAAAGAATCAAACGATCAATTTTTTTTCAATTATCGCATGAATGCATAGAAAGGTCAATTTTTCTATTATAACCATCAAAGGTCTCCTTATTAAAACGTAGACTAATATTTGTTGATGTAAAGTTTATCATTTTGAGAAGAAATATACCTCCACAGTAATTTTCTGAATATACAGTACAGCTTCTGCCCTGGCATTAGCAAATCGCCACTGCAAATGGCGATTGTAAAGAAGCCGGAGTTGATGAGCATCCTCTATGTAGCTTGCACCTTTTCTCCCCCTCTTAAAGTCTGCAATAAAACTAAGAACTGAAGTTAAGCTATGGGATTGACTAGTTATGGTGGATGTCCTCATACGAGATGGACTGACTCCCCTTGGAGTTGCACTGTCTCCTCTTGGAGGTGGAGTGAAAGGTCTTGCCCGAGAAGGACTGGCACCCCTCGAAACAGAAGTTCTATTTGGTGTCTGAGGTCGTGATCCAGGAGCAGACAAAGACTGAGATTTGTGTGCATAAGTTGTCAGTGTCATTTTGTCCAATGAACTTGCAGAAAGGAGCCTTGCAGGTCCAGATACCCGCAGAGACTTATCATCAATTGGAATTACCTCAGGCCCTACCTGACCGATTTCATCGAGTGATAACAAATTGGCTGAGTCATTAGCAGATTTCTTTAGAGATATACTCAAACTATCGGAAATTGCCATTCTCTTCAGTGAAGATAACCCGATTTCTGGAACTGGTGTAGATAAACTTTTAACAATCTTAATATCACCCAGATCTACACTTCTATTCAATGAATTGGAAGATAGTTTCCCATGATTTCTACTAGGCCATCGAGGCTGATCTCTTATACGGCCAGGCAAACCTTCAACTGGTTTAGCGTTTTCAGATTGATCAGGCGCATTCTTCCCTTTAAGAGGACTTTTCTTTCTCTCTGGAGTAGGCTTACGCGATAACGCAGATTTTTCGGACTGTTGTCTATGAGCCACATTTGAAGAAGGTCTCAAAGTACGATCCAATGAAACATTACTAACCGGTTTTTGTTTTTGCTTTTTGCTAACAGGAATTGAAATTGTATCAGACTGAAATGAAACACTAAGACTTCTCATGGTAGATGGCCATAAACTTTCAGGTGTGCGGCCAGTTGATAGCCTTCTAGGTGATATCTGCACACCTACTGATGAATCTTGAACTGGCGTAGATAGACTTCGAGGTGAAGATGGTGTTGAGGGGCGTTTCCGCTCAGCCGAAACAGCTCTATTTTTCACCAACTGGGAAGGAGTAGAGGTTGTTCTAGTAATTGGAGATGGGCAACGCCTCGAACCAAAAGGTGTTGCAGGACTGGGTGATTTATACCTCGAACTAACTTCCCTGGTTCGAGGTTGACGAGTTGTGAGTGATGCATTGTTTTTTTCAGCAGGAACAAGGGGTGACCTCGCGGTATCAACAGCAGCAAGCTTCTTCAATCTTCGCTCTGATTCACATATATCCATCCAAACTTTCCAAACTAGACCACATTGATGGGATTTTCCATAAAGAACACTAAACTACATTTAACAGCCTATCCATTACATGAACCCCACAGATAATCGGAATAACGCCAGCTGCTCAAAAAGAAGATACATTCCCCTGCAATAAATCTGCCACAAATGCATAAACCAAAAGTTAGATGCTTACAGAATGGCATAAAGCAAAGATATTATTATCAACACCAAAGGAGAAAAAGAAACAAGAAACATCGTTATAGATGCCCAGATCTGATTGATGAAGAATTAGAGATTTACAAGAAATTAACTGAAATGGGCATAGCTTATCAATCAAGAAAGCCCAAATCCAAGCAGATCAAGCCATCAGAATGAGACTGAGAAGTGATAAAACAGCATCAGGAGGGGGGGGGGGACCCGGGGCTGTCCTTTAGAAAGTAGAATTCTATCCAATATAAATTAACGGTCATCACTAAGCCTTTTGGTTAAATTAACCTAAAATTGCAAACGCAATACACTAAGAGGTCCCCTATGTGAGGCTTTGAGAAAACTATACTGTCAATGTCTCCACTGGTTTTTGTTTCCTGGTGGTGGGTTGTAGGATAAAAAAACAGCTAGAAGAAAGGTGCGTAGGAGAGAGAGAGTGAAAGAAGACATACACACCTATATATATACATACATATATGTATGTATAAGTTCTTCAAATGCATAAAAAAACCTTTTTCAAAATGTTTATGTCAAAACTATAATTGTACAACACTAGGGTAATAAGAGAACATTCTCGCTGTAATGGTTCTAATTCTGAAATGGTAATTACCTGAACTTGGTCACAGGAATGCATGGTCAGTTCGGCTGGAAAAACCAAAACCACAATGAGATTCACCGATTTTCACTCACAGAAATAAATAAACAGCCAACTGTGGCCTCTTCCCTTCCTTCTCACCTGCTTTTCCATGAATAGGAATTCAATGGAAATGACCAACAAAAAATTGCATCAGTTTTCATTTTAAAAATATATCATCTTTCCTATCTTCCCATAAAAATACATAAATTGATCACACGGGATTTTTACCTGGGATCACATATGTGAATAATGACAGTAAAATTAGCATAACAATTAAAAAAAATGCAGTTAAACAAATTAGGTAATCATGTAAGATTGTTTGTTTGTATCCGTGTTGGTTTGAGAAATTGAATAATTGGGATGAGAAGAGAACAAGGTTGAAGTTTTTGCAGTGCTAATGTTGGTGAAGATACGGGAAAAGAGATGGAGCACCACGTGCAAGGAAGACCAGTGTCCATCCCCATGAATTCACAGTGAAAACTTTAAATAATAGTTTAAATTATTTTATGTTGCTATCTGCGTACTTTTTCTGTTTTGTATTCCCAGATTGAGGAACTGAAATCGATGGAAATACCAGGAAAGATTAAAGGTTTAAATTTAAGATTACAATAATTTCACTGGTATTTAATTTTTTTAATGAAAAAAAATCCAAAACCATGTAGTCTCTGGCTTTGACAGGGCTATGTCTCTAAAATTGAAGACAAAAATACAGAGATAAAAAAAATGTTTTATGCATATCTCTCAGTTACGGAGTTGCAGAAATTATTCTTTTAAAACAAACTACTAAAAATAACAACAAAAAAGAGAATAAATTAAAACTAAATTTATTTGATTACTGTTCTTTTATGCTAAAACGAGTGACCTACAAAGCAAGAAACAAATCAAAACAGAAAGCTGCAAAAGACTAACGACACGCACAAATCTCACCTTTTTTTTATCGATCTAAAAAAAATCTTCCAAAGCGATTTAATCACAGAAAAATCAACCCTGAGAAATTCGAGAATTCGTTGAAATATCAGATCAAAAGAAACCGAAAGAGTGACCGCCGGAGAGGAGAGGTCCGGTATCCGGGAGATGATTGGAGAAGGAATATTCCGGTGTGAGATGCAAAAGCCTATTGAGATGGTCAGTTTCTTGGTGGAGGGAAGAGAGATTTAACAAGGAAAAATGAAGAAAATAATAGCGATAAATTCGAGGAATTAAAAGAAAAGTTTTGAAAAAAAGATGAGGGAAAGGGGAACTGTATTTCAGTTGAATGAGAAGAAAGAGTAAGGAAGCTGTTTTCGCGCCACCTACTTTATCGAGATTCAGAAATGGGAGTTTTCTTTTGCTACCTTATCGTACGTAAATGTATTAAAAAATATAATATCTTATCTCTTTAGATAAATTAATCATTAGTAAATTAATTTATAATTAAATAGATATATTAAATTTTTAATAACATATGTATTAGAGTAAATAGATATTTTTGATAATATAATGAATTTTCTCAACATAGTATAATTTTGAAGGGTTAAAAGATTCAATCACATAAAATCCTTTCCTATAAACAAATTAAAATATTTTTATATTTTTTAGCTCCTATCAGAATTATTTTCTTTTGTGGATTTGAACTTTGAAGAATATATACGGAGGTAGGATCTAGTTACACAATGTAAAATTTAAAAAATATATTTAATTTAAGATAGTTGGATAAGTAAAAATAAACAGTTGAATTTTACTGTAATAAATTAAAAGATCTTTACTGGAAAAAATCAAGATGATAATTTCAGTCGTCTATTTTTACTCATTCAACTATCCTAAATCAATGTAATACTAAAAAAAAATTACATCGTGTAAGTGAATCCCAATCCCATGTACGAGGTAGGGATCTACTTATATTTAATGTAAAATTTTTAGTTTTATACCTTTTTACAATCTTTGGATGAATGTGAATAGATGATTACAATTATATTCTTGTTTTTTTATAAATATCTTTTTATTTTTTATTGTTAATTTTAATAATTATTTTTTAGAGTGATTTACCGAAATCATTAGGTTATTTAAATATCCAAAATGTATAGGATTTACCCACACATCAAAATCAGTACCAACAAAATTTGAAATCATTGCTAATTAAAAGCATTACTTAAATGAGCAGAGCAGCTAATAGCATTGAAAATTGCATCAATCTCCCACCTATCTATCTTTTGTTTCCACTTGCAACCCCTCTCTCAAACACGGTTGTTTTTATAGATATAATTTAAATATTGAAAAACGATTTCAAAACCCATTAGATTTGGACTTTCAAACAAATATATCAACTAATCCATTATGATTAACTTGGATATTAGTATGTAATTTTGGAGGATGTGACATACGGTTCAAAGGGATGATCCACTCACTCAATGTGTCCTTTTGGTCTCATCATGTGAGGTGGATGTTGAGTTTTTCTCCTTTTTATTTTAATTAATAATATGTAAGAGTAAGAATGAATGTATGCTTTTATGTTATAATTTTGTATATTATTTGAAAGATGCATTGACTTATAAAATTTGATAAGTGAAAAATAAATTATCAATAAAAAATGATATAAACAATAATTAAAATATATAAGAAATTTAAATTTTTAAAAAATGATTTTTCTAATCACTCCCTACTTGATTTATCAATTTGTAGGGTCCACATTAGTAAACCCATGGCATAGACTTTTATAAACTCCTTTCGGTAGATGAGATGGTAGTATTAAAATAAGATACTTCTGTTGTACGATAGTCTAATATATTATTAAAGAAATATATTATTAAAAATATTAATATTTTTTTAATATTTTTTGGTAGAACAATGCTACTTAAAATGTTATTTTTTCTATCGAAAATATTTATATCGAAAATATTTATTTTAGGTAGCGAAATTAATATTTTCGGTAAAAAATAACATTTTAAGTAGCGTTCTATCGAAAATATTAAAAAAATATTAACATTTCCGATAGCGCTTTTTATTAGCCTTATATTAGGTTATCTTTCCTTAAACATCCCCATTGAAATAAGATCCCGAATACTTAGGATTTAAACTTTGAAATTATTTTAAGATGGATATATATGCTTATTTTTAAATTCTAGATTTAGTAAAAAAAATAGATATAAAAGAGTGATTTAGATATTTATATTTTTTTTTAATTTTTTCGTTAAAGTTTTTATCAATTACGGGTGTGAATAAATATATATGGACACAAATTATTTAAATATGTATTATTCGTGCCGTTATGAATTTTATATTAGAATATTATAATATAAAAAATTTAATATTCTAATCTGAAATTCACATTGGCATGAGCGATGGAATTTCTTGAAAATCAAAATAAACAATATATTTGTTTTTAAACGGATTCGAATTAGGTCATTTAAAATTATTTTAACATATTCAAATTTTAATATTTTAATAATAATTTAAAATTTATTTTTTATACATTTAAATATCTTAAGAATAATAACATTTAATTTAAATTCAAATAATAGTATTATACAGATCATGTTACCTCGTTGTTAGATGGATGATTGTTATCTTTAGTGGTATTGGGTTTAAGCACATTGTATGTCAATAATATTTGAGCATTCATTGTCAAATGGATTAAGTGTCTTTAGAACATAACCTTGTAATCACTTTTAGATTAATATTTTTTAAGTAGTAGTAGATAAAATATGAATAATAATATATTCAATTTTTAGATAATTTTATGTATTTAGATTATTCAAAAAAAATATAAATATTTAACTCGGATTTGAATTTGTGGGTTTTTGAATTAATCTGAATTTTATTTTTATTTAATTTATCATGAATTTAAATTTATTTATAATGTAAAAATAAAGTTCTTATATATTCATCTTAAGAAGTTTTCAAGGAGAAAACTATCGAGTAAATCAGGCTAAGAGATGCAGGTGAACCCTTGATGAAATTGAAATTAATGATGGATGAAGTTAGGTGCCAAAGATGTTTCATAATAAGCTAACTACGACGTGGCAAGCCATATTATCATGCTTGACACCAAAGGTTCAATTTACACTGGGACTTTCTTCACTTCCTACTCTTTATAATTGCATCAAAGTGTGTCCTACCAATTCATTCATTTGCTTCAAGTATATCCTTTTCTACCTTTACTATAAAAAATACAAATAAAATACCTAAAATACATATAAAAAATTAAAACTTTTAGGTAAGACGGCTGTGTCCGCTCGCCCACTTTAAGCACATTCCTGCCCATAGTGTCTACTACCAACAAGCAATTAGCAAATATTAATGAGAAAAATCATTTTCCATTGCCAAATGCATAATTTTGCCGTTTCATTTCCCCCCTCATTTAATGTTTTATTTTGCTTTTGGAACTTTTTAATCAATGTAAAGTGATTTCACGATTTATTATAAATACTTGTAGATTAGATTTGGAATAAATTAAGTATATGGTTGGTAAGTATTACTAAAATTGATAATCAAGACTTCTATAATTGTACCTTATTCAATTAAAAAGGAACAAAATATCCTAAATCCAAGTCTCTTGCTAATTATGATTCATAATGACCTGTTATCAACAATCTACACCTATAATATATATTATAGCATTTAAGAGTGAAGGTGTAATTGATAAATCGTAGTCACTTGCTAATTATGATTCATAATTATGATCCAATATGTGTCGATTGTTTTATCTTTATATTTGATCAGTATATCTAATAAAATTGATCTTATTTTATCAATGATATTATTTAATTATTTAAATAATAAACTTATTGATATTTTTCGAAAATTTGGGGATCTATCTGATTGCTACTGTTTTAGGATGATTGGATTGTGTTTATATGCTGATTTTAGTTATTCTTGACCAAAGCAAATTGTTTAAGGACCTTTTGTCAATATCTTCAAGTGATCCTCTTCACATTTAAATTTGACAATAAAGTAGTTGTTTTCTAGATCTATCAGGTTGAAACTCTCTTGTGTATGCCACATATATTGAATTCTCGATTCTAGGGTTTTGAAACTTATTGTCTCGCTGAGCATTCTTTCTGTTATCGATTTCTACAAGTTTTTGTCGATTAAGTTATGAACTCACTCTGAGAATAAGTGTCAAAGCTCTAGAATTGAGAACTCAATCTCTATGACATACACAAGGGAGTTTCAAATTCATAGATTTAGAAAACAACTATTTCATTGTCAAATTTGAATGTGAAAAGGATTGCTTGAAAGTATTGACAGAAAGTCCTTAGACAATTTATGGTAGCTACCTCACGGTACAACTATGGAGTTTTATTCTCTCTTCAAGACCCAACGATTTCGTTAAAGATGTCTTAAGTTCTCTCCTTAGGGTTTTTCATAATCCTTCTCATGCATTTCTTATATACTTAAAAACAGTCTAATTAAGAAATTATTTGTATACTTTACAACTTTTTATTTTAGTTGTTGTCAATGAAAAGCCCGTGTCACGTAGAGGACCCGTGTTTTGTTTATGCAGTGGATCTCGTCAAAATTATTGGTTCCAAATTTAAAAGACATAACATTTTTGGTGAGAAATTTGACCTATTGGCATTACTTATCATTAAAATTAGAGGCACAAGTTATTGGCCAAGTTTTTGTGCATGCGATTCAATGACATCCTGTCTCCATGACATGTAACTTTCAGCTTCTCGTTGTCGGCATTTTCCCCAATTTGTTTTTTTTGTAATAGTATATTCATACATAATCATTAATTTTTTTTCTATACCAATTATTAAATTTACTATATTGGTAAGCAATTTGATATCGTTTAAGTAGATCTCAAATTTGAGGGTACAAAAAAATATCTATTAGGAGATTCACCCACAAAAAACATATATACAAATGCAACGCGTATCGGTCCAGATTAATCAATACAAAACTTTAGAACCGAGAAAACATCCAAAAACTTTTTTTTGCCATAGTCGGTGCATATAATAATTTCTCAATTGATGATATTTTCAATAAATTATTGAGAATAATTTATGATGAGAATATAATTTGTTAAAATCGTGATAATTTGAAGACGAAGGATATGCTATTTTAACTTACCATGGTTAATTACTAGGATAATGATCCGATGAAGTGAATGTTATTATTATAAGCTTGAATTCAACATTTTGAAATGTCAACGCAGAACTCGGACCATTTGTTTTTTTAGAATGTTGAAATTCAAGTGTGATAAATTATAATTGAATTTGGACCACTTGTTCGTTCATCTACTATTCCAAATCTTTATCAGACATTGTTTTTTGAAATATATGAAAAT